TATTCTACAAGGTCCTGTGTTTTCATAAAAGCGGATAATGCGGATAGCGGGACCTTTGAAGATTAAAAACTAAGGTCTGTCTCTAGGTCAAACGGCAAACATTCCAGAACATGTTGGACCTGGGTTTTACAGGTACAAAACGTACTTTGGCTGCAAACTGAACAAACTTTGTCCAGATGTTGTTGTAGACCCTGTTAGTGTTGGATTTCCTGCAACTCGGTAGTGTTTTTAGGACTTGACACGAGCATCCAACTTCTGTTAAGCTATCCTTTTTAATACCCAGACCGCCAGTCGCCGACCTGCTGTGCAAAAGGTGACATCAGCCATTCTCTGTCAAGAGTCTGGACGTAAAGGTATCAACACTGAAAATGGCCAATATCAGCCGTTTCTCCTGGTACACTTTGAAAAAAGAATTTCACAATCAATGGCATCGTTGGTAAGGCGTAAGCTGTTCTTGAAGCTCTATAGTGCCATCAGCTAATCCCTTTTCATCCCCTGGGGGCAAGTAAATCTGAAAAAAATCTTGCTCAACTTGGTATTGGGGAAAGACGCAAACAGGTCCACCTCCAGACAGAACCATGTTTGAACTATCCACTGAAAGACTTCTAGGTGTAACGACCACTAATCTATCACTGGCCTGGAAAGGCGATCTGCTTCCACATTTTGGTCCCTAGGATGTACACCGCTGTTATGTTCTGTAGCAGCTTCTGTGTCCATACCATTATGGCTTCTACGTCTTGTAGCAGGGACGCACACCTTGCTTCTTGATATAAGATACAGCTTTCCCGTTGTCCAACCTGAGTTAAACAAACAGACTGACCAAGGAGATGTTTGAAAGCTCACAAAAAAGGTACAAAACTCTGCTCTTCCCAGCACACTGGACTCCACCTTCGCACTAACTGGCCAGAGAGCGCGCGTTTGCAGTGCGCTCAACTTGTACCACTGGCATCTTCTGGAACTGTGAACCATGAGTTGGGGAGCAAGGAGTTACACTGAACCAGTGTTTTCTGTGTGTGCCTACCACCAGAGGCATTGCTTTATCTGAATTCTCTGTTGCAAAGTCAATGATGTCCACTGATGTCGGAATGGGTGCACATGCCATTGTACCCACTTTATAATGGGTATTGTTGCTGTTAATGTTCCTACTGTCATGAGATATTGTCTTGCTTGCATCTCCAGTGTTATTACTGTGTCCCTGTGTTTGATTAGGGTTTCTCATAACTGAGCCAGCACAAGCACTTTGTCTAGGTAATGATGCAACCCTACCAGTTTCTCTCTCAACAAAAGCAATCACTCCCATTAACACCTTAAAAGGTGTGTGGGGATGTTGAAAGCCTAAAAGGCAAGACAGTACATTGAGTGTAAATGTTGCTCGGCCACTGAGAACTTTAAGAATTCTTGATATGAATAATCTATGGGTAGTTCTAAGTACATGTCCTTTAAGTCGATCAAGAGCATGAAGTCTACTAGTTGGACAGATTCAATATTTGACTGCAAAGACTCCATCTTGAACTGTTCTGTATGGTTGTCTTGTTGATCCTTCACAAAATCAAGGACTGTTCTCCAGCCCCCTGAATTCTTGGTGACCCAAAATGTTTGGGAATACATACCTCAATTTATAGAACTAGCATATTTGCATTCTCGACGTACAATGCCCGATTCTTGTCTGCAGAACTGGGAATTTTAGTTGGAACATAGGCACTTTTGAGAAATTTAAGCATGGCCCCTTAAAATATTCTTTATGACCCAGGGATCTGTAACCAACTCCACCCAAGCATGGATGAAATGACCACAATGGCAAATTGTGTGCAGGTAATAGCATGAGTCTCATGGAGTAATTCATGAGACTAATGCGATCAGTCCCATTCGCAAGTGTGAGTAGGGCCTAAGACTGGAAGTCAGCACTTTGTATATCATTTTATCCAAAGGTCAGGGAAGAGAAAAGATACATAATTCCAGCCAGCTGGGTAAGGATGGATGAAGCAAGGCAAAGTGAAAGCAAGTAAAGTGGATTTTGACACCGTTTCACAGCTGCAACCCAGGGAATGATAGCGAACGGTGTCATGACAAAGAACAATGAAAAGTTACAACAGCCACCATGCACAGGTACTAATATGTGGGACAGCTAGAGGAATAACATGTTTAACTTTATGATGCTTGCAGACATGCTCAGTCTGGCTGATTTTTTCTGGCAATCCATTAGGTATTCACAACAGCAGACATACTTGGTCAACTGATCTGATGAAAACTGGTTTATCATACAGGTTAGAGAGTATTGTTTGATCTTAATTGTTTCTCAGAGGACCAGCCAGACACTGGGTTGTCTGTCTGCGTTCCATACTCAGGCATAATTAAACATCCCCTATAAACATGGATGTGACCTCAATGTGCAAGTTTATGCATGAAGCTACCAAATCAGTCATGTAGGCATGATCCTTTGTGATTTCTGGTACTCTTGAAGGCCATACATTTTTTTAGTTTGCCCTGGCCAAATGTACACATGCCATGTTATGCCAGATCACCAGGTGTATGCAACTAATAGTACACAGACAGTTTCTACTACTTAGTAAATGGCCCCAATATTTTCACAAGAAGTTTTTTTTTTTTTTAACCCACAATGGGTTAAAAAAGCTAATTTCTATTTCACACTTTGTGGAATTTGATATCAGTATAATTAAAATGGGTGCTGCATCATTTTTGAACCAATACAATTTAGGTCCTTAAAAGACACATTGTCATTCACTTTCTTCTCCTCATAACCATGTGAACAAAAATGAAAAGTCCTAGTCTGTCTGCAAGAGGAGACATATTTGTATAACCATGTATACAGACAGCGCCAGCTGTCCAATAACTTTTATAAAAGATTTCAGATATTATGATGCTCCAGCCACTACTTACCAGAACAGATTAGCCTGTTCCCTGACAAACGACCTGCATACTGAGATCAACACTGTGTGTAAGGCTATCCACAAAAGGCAGTGAGGAAGAACACATGAAAGAACAGGAAGACAGGACAACATAGATGACTTGAGGCATTTCTCTATACCAGAGACTGAACTACTCTCATTTTAATTAGGGAGTTTTCTTGCTTATGACTGATTAGGCTGTCACCTGTCACATATGCAGCCCAAGGAGAAATTGAATGATGACACAATACTTAGTTCACACAAACAGCCTTTCCTTCTGTCTACGGGTTCAGACACTTTGATGTTGGAGAACTCAATTCTAAAATTAATTATACTGGAACATTTTTTATTTTAAAGATTCAGCAATTAAAATGAGTAAAATACATCTTGCAAGTTTATCCATAAACAAACAAAAAAAGGGTAACCCTGCGTCCTTCACTGAAGAGGAGTTAGATACATTTGTTTTGCAGATATCACCACCGTTGGGCCTACCAATAAATGTTTCTAAGGGCCAACTTTGACAATAAAAATAATGGCATAGCTTATTTTTAGTGACAGTGCTATATTTACATATCTGTATAGATGGGAGGAGAAAATAAACTTAAAGCAACCCTTTTAAATTATCTCATGCCTATCCTAGCTTGTTCAAAGCAGCACTAAAATAGGTTTCCAATCTGGTCCCCAAAGGCCCTTGGGGAGGGACCAGACTGAAAACCCAAGGATCATGTATGACAAGCTAGATGTCATACATCACCCCATTCTCAGAGCCATTAGTGCACGTGCAGTGCAAGCAGCGAAAGCTCCAAAAGGGTAAACCTGGATCCTTCCTTGTTCTCTACAAACAGAACATAATAGCACACATTTTGCAGTGTGCAAGTATGCTCCCAAACTTGAAGGACATTAACACTCCCTGTTTATGTGGCATGGCAGCAATATTGCGATGAGGTGGCAGGCTGGGCAGAAATATCACATCAAAAAGCCAAGCAAATGGCCAATGGAGGTAGATGACAAAAGATGACATTTACCGTATATACTCGAGTATAAGCCGTCCCGAATATAAGCCGAGGTACCTAATTTTACCACAAAAAACTGGGAAAAAGTATTGACTCGAATGAGTAGTAGGGATAATGTAATTGGGGATGTGACACTAAAGCTGGCTATACACCTATAGATTTTTCTCTGACCATAGATAAGCCTATGGCCAGATGGAAAAAGAACTAAACTGTGTGGATGGACGAATCTCCCACTGGACCAAGCTTCAGTATCTTGCTAGTTGGCTCCGCTGGCTGTCAAAATATCTGAACAATGCCTTCATCCAATCAGATTGTTCAGGTATTGAGAGAGCCAGCGGGGCCGACTAGATACTGAAGCTTGGCCCAGTGGGAGATTCCTCCAGTCACACAGTTTCGTGTAGATGGAGGAATCTGTTGCACTTTTTCCATCTGACCATAGGCTGAGGGGAAAAAAAAAAATATATAGGTGTATGGCCAGGTTTATGCTGCTGGGATGAAGGAAACGTATCCGGGGCTGATGAGTGCCCTACTGCTGGAGATAGATAACATATACTACTAGGAAAGAGAAATATACTGATGTAGACAAAGGGAAATTTGAGGCAGATATGCAGCTAAGGAGACTTTCTATTGACAGCTTAGCAGCTACATATCACTGATCTCACTAAGCTTTATGTTCAGATGAATGACAGGTATTAGAGAGTCCGTGCAATCAAAACACTACTAGGTGCTTTGGAGAGGGGTTACCAGGGGTAGGTGAATGGTGAACTGTGGGTGGCCATCAAAAAGTTGCTGTGGGCCTTTTGAATTGTAGTCAAGTCTGTGTGTTTGTTTTGGAATCACATATTAGGTGACAATTCTGACCAAGGCTTTATTAAGTGTTAGGAGAAAACCATCCTTTCAGTTGCATATACAAATTACTAATTATCACAAGAGTAGTATTGCTAGGACACCTAATCCCAGATGTGCTAGAAAGGGTATATTTGTGCATATAAACTGGGCACTAAGAAGGAACCACAAACATAATTGCCAAAACAAACAAGCCACGGATTTCACATTAGTGGCAGATTTCTGATTTCCTTACCAATGGTTCTAGCTCCTTCCGGTCTATGAGGTTCAGTTCTGTCACAAAGTAGTAAAAGTGCTTGTAGCAGGTATTGACGTGTGCTTCTGCTCCCATGATTATAATGCGGTCAAAGTGATGAATGTATACATGGACAAATACACGGAATAGTCTGCACAGTATCTTCTTGCAGATCTGCAGGAAATTCTTTGGAAAAGGAACTCCTATCAATACAAAACAAAAAGGAAAGACAAAAGTAATTACAGCAGCAGTAATATCAGTGGAACTGTCTTTATAATGTATAGAAAACTGGAAGAATGGTACACATCTAATAGAATGAGAACTGTTACATTTCATCTAAACCATCATTTATTATAGTCAATCATAGTACATTCTGTGTCATCTCTGTATGCCAAGTAGTTAAGAAAAAGGGATCTCCATAGATGATCTGTCGGGTCTTAATTGCTGTGTGTGTTTCCATGGGCCAGATGTGTCCTCACTTCCTGTTCTGGTAAAACAAAGTGAGAAAAAAAAAATCACCCTAGTAAGGACCCAGACAGCAATAAAAAAACTAAAACTAAAATCCTAACATTTCCCCACTCTATCCAAAACGAAAAGGAAATGCATGTCTAGAGACATTTACCAGAATGTCAACACATGGATACAGATCCTTATTAGAAAATCCTTTATTGATTCACAGCGTAAAAACAGCAGTGACAAACATGCTGGCACAGTTTAGCCAAAGAGGCCTTAGTCATAGCGGTTTGTTATCCCATACAAAGCTCTAACAGTCCACCATAAAAATGGAAAATCGGAGAAGTAACAATTTACATAATTACACCTTTGTAATTAAAATCAGATCAGGATAGCAAACAACCACAACAGCAGACAAGCCATAGCGGTACACATCTTGCAAGAAACCATCTAACCAAATACACTTGTAACATTCTATACCACCTCACTGTTTATGGCCAGCATCATTCAACCCACTTGCTCTGAGCCCAGGTCATCCAGGACTCGCCCCGGCCTGTGACTGAACAGTGAAAGGAGCAACATTATGCAAAAGAGCACATCAACGGCATCCCTTTAGACATGCTTGCAGCAAATCAGCAGAGTACAAAGCTAAAGCCTGCAGTACCCAGAAGGAGATGCAAGCACATTTAAAAGGGATCCCAGAGATGTGTGCTTTCATTTAATGCTTTTCAGAAAGATATGTGGCAGAAAGCTATGAGGTTTAGGGCTGCAACAACTAAATCGACTATAATCGATTGAAAAAGTTGTCAACTTTTTCAATAATCGATTAATCGGCTTCCGATCAGTTGGCCCTGTTCACAGCTCCACACGCTGTGCGCCGCACCTCCTCCCCACCTCACATTTACAGGAGCCTGCCTGCCGTACTACCAAACTCCGAGCCAAGAGCAGCAGAGAGACCCAATAACAACTTCACCATGTCTTAATGGAGGTATTTATTGAAAAAGAAAAATGTTTTGATTTAAAAATTTTGATCAGGAGAGAGGGGGGTATGGGAACAAGGGCAGTTGTTTAACGGTATAATTCACTTCAGCTTTAAAGTATATTTTCACTTGTGCAGCCAAACTCGGATAGCACCTACTTTATATTTTTTACATGTTCCCAATCACATAGCATTACTTAAAGGAGAATCCCGGGCAGAAGAAAATGTAACCTCACAGTGGGGCTACCTTGCTCTGCAAGTATTAAGTGCTCATTTTTGTCTAGGGTCTAAAATAACAAAGAAAAACTCACCAAAATCTCGACACTGTCTGGCTTCTAGACTGGTCCATGCAGCCTCTCTCCCCCTCAGCTCTGGCGGTCTAACAATCCGTGAGTCATCACGTCCAATACAGTGTATTGGACATGATGGCACAGAGGGACATTTCATCGCAAGGGGAGAGAGGCTACAGGGACCTGTATATATAGGAGCATAATAACATACCAATAGGGAGGTGTGTAAAGCCTATGATGTCTGGGCCATACAGCCAGCAGAGCTGAAACCAAGAGGTCATAGAGATTCCAAGGTTTCAGGCTATCCACTACGCACATTTGATTTCTATAGTAATGACAAACTACTTCTAGATTTACTTACACTTCTGTTGGAGGTAGGCAGTACAATCTAGGGTCAGCAGGCCTGCATAAACAAGCCATGGCCTACCTTTAGCATCAATTAAAACACATTGAAAATAGGATTCGCTACATACCCTGTTTCCCCAAAAAATAAGACCTACCCCGAAAATAAGACCTAGTTGTGACCATTCCCAGGACCGGTGGTGACATAAGGGGGAAAGAGTCGCGGGAGAGGGAGGAGAGAATCAGTGGTGCCAACGAAGCCGGCGCTAGAGGAAGCGAGGCGGCAGCGGAGGAAGCAGAGCCGCATAAGCCGATGCTTCCTCTATAGCGCCAGCTCCTGTCACAGGCGGAGTGATACCAAATGCCCTTCGCCTGTGAGGAATCGATAGTGAAAGTGCGCTTCGCTCATTCTGGCCAGCGATTGGTTAGCAAATTGCTCTTGGAAAGGTACGGCACCCCTGATTGCCCTGATCACCATATTTTTGTACATGAATAAGTGTGGATTGTTGTACATTAAAAAAATTAAAAATAAGACCTACCCCGAAAATAAGACCTAGTGTGTTTTTGTGAGCAAAAAAAAATATAAGACACTGTCTTATTTTCGGGGAAACACGGTAGTTGTGCTGTACAGTAAGTATGTTCTGTCACCCACTCACAGGCTTGATTTAAGAAGACAAATAAGAGCTCCAGTGACACAGTAAAACAACTACTTATATGCTTGGAAAAATAAAGAAGCAGGTTAATCCGTGATTATACCTTGTGTGCAGGATCTTAATGTTCCAAAGTCGTTCAAAGCAAGAACAAAAGTAATCTGAGGATTTGTATGCAAGTGCTGTACAACAACCTGAATCTTAAAGATAAAAAACAACTATTTCATTTTTGTAACCCACCCACAGCACATAATCAAGAAAAGCAAAACAAATGATGTTACCGATTCCATAGAAAAAAAATCTATTTTGAATAGAGCTGCAGCTAATGATTATTTTCAAAATCGATTCGTTAGCCGATTATTAAGTTCGATTAAAAAATAAAATACATTTTTAAAAAATTGCGGTATTCTGCATTGCGCTGTATAATGTACTATTGCTGGGTTTTGTAATCCTCTATAGCTGGTGGTATTCTGCATTGTGCTGTATAATGTACTATTGCTGGGTTTTGTAATCCTCTATAGCTGGTGGTATTCTGCATTGTGCTGTATAATGTACTATTGCTGGGATTTGTTGTACTCCTCTATAGCTGGTGGTATTCCGCATTGCGCTGTATAATGTATTATTCCTTGATTTGTAGTCCTCTATACAGCGCAATGCAGAATACCACCAGCTATAGAATGAGAATACCAAACCAGAATGTACCATCAGCTATAGAGGAATACAACTCCCACTATCCCAGCAATACATTATAGAGCACCATGTGTGGAAAAGTGCAGGCTTACCTGAGCAGTATTCCAGCAACTTGTTTCTGAGATCGGGCCTGTCTATCGGCGGCTTTCATCCGCCCACACCTGATCCTCCTTACTTCTTCTACCCGCGTCCCTGTGCCGATCGTCGATGTGTGCGCGTGGATGCGGCCGGGAGGGTCTGGCAACGGCGAGCGTGAGGTGGGGAGGAGGTGTGGCGCACAGCGTGTGTAGAGCCATGATCAGGGCCAACCAATCGGAAGCCGATTAATCGATGATTGAAAAAGTTGACAACTTTTTCAATCATCGATTATGTCAATTAGTTGTTGCAGCCCTAATTTTGAAGATATCCTATACTGGTGTAAGGCTACACCAGGCGCTTCAATACAACGCATGGCTGCTGGTGTGGGTTGTCTGAATTTCATCTGATCGAAGGAGCCAGTCAGAAAAACTTCAAATGAACAGAGCCGGCAGTAAATGAGCTGCCGGCTCTGTCCAAGTGTTCTGCCAGCGGCCACCATAAAGAAAGTGGGAGATTCCTTGATCAATGCTTGTAAGCGTTGGTGGAGGAATCTGTATTATTTAATTTGCCGGTTGAACGAAAAAATATGACAGCGCATGGCTAGCTTAACCCTTCATTTTAAAACGTACATAATCAGTTATGTGACTTTCACACACCTTTGCCCTTCAATATTTTATTGTATAAAATAGAGATTTGTAGTTTGCCCACTAGAGGGATCTTTGTACTCCACTCTTATGTCACTTTAAGATGCCAGGCTTCCCCCAATGCTGCTTTAAGGACTTAATTGATGCTTCTTGATCTGATCATCTTCTTTCCGGTAGTTTTCAGGAGTCCCTCTAGCTCTGGTCCCGGTCTCTGATCCAACACGGACTCCGGTCTCTTCCTGTCCCATGGAGTCTGTGCAGGTGCACGCTGCCTGCATCGACTTACCCTGTGTCTCCTCTTCTCTCGACCGATGATGTCTACTGCGCATGCGCCCGCACCATGATCCTTCACGGCTGCTCGAGAATCTTCAGATCTTCAGGTGGAATAGGCACACTTTAATTGAAAGTGCACTTATCCTTTAAGACACTGGATTAGCATTGCCAGATTTTACATTCTGCCTGAAAACAGAGTCAAGTGCTGTAGAATAGATTCTCTCTTTCCTAAACACCACTTAGCACGCTGTTTTCTGAGGACAGGACAATGAAAGCCTGACACTGTATTTTTCTTTCTAACTACAAAAGCAAACACAGTAAGAAACAGACCGCAGCGCAGACAAATGAACTGTTTATATTCATGTCTGCCGCATCCTTGGAAACTTACTGCCAATGTATAAGGGAAAGTGTTGCAAATTGGTTTAAAATGTTATATCCTCAAGTATTAGCATCAAAGCCTAATATATTCAACAGCTCGAGTCTGGAACAAGTGTCATATAGGTCTGCTTCAGGAGTGATATTTTTTTTAAATCTTAGATGTGAAAAACTTTTGCAGTTAGCAGATAACACACTGTATGAAATGTATACTTTGTACCGAGCTGCTCCTAAAAATCGACCTTCATTTGACACCAGGTTCTATTCAACCGTGCCTCTATAAAACATGGAGCTTGGTAATTACAGGTCATCATTAATATACAGATCATACTCAGAGGGGGAGGATGTTAAGATACAGGCACTATAGAGAAAGGAAGCAGATGAGATGTACAGGGGGGTTGAATCTGATGTTGCCTACCTGAATAAAAT